GTCTTTGGTCTAAATACATATGTGGTTCCTTTTCCATATTGTGTTCACTGTTTTTAGAGTGAGTAGCATTATTCTGAAACATACTGAAAGGTGAACAGGCATTCAGATTCATTTATGCCTGACAGTTTCTCCCTTCTCCATTTGTCATCTTATTTTTAAACAATTGCATGTATAAGGCCATTATTTTAATTTTAATTGACCAACTTGGAGGTGGTATTTTCTTAGGGACGAGAGTTTTTTTTAAAAGTCTCAATAGTTGACTCTTGCAGTCTAGAAAGCTAATGAGTACATGAATAAATTGATTCGGAAAATGTTATTACTTAATTTTGTCTTATATTAAGTTTTGTACAGTATGTTTTGCAAAATGAACATTTAAATGAAATAAATTGGCAAATTGGAAGCATCAGAGTTACTCTTACCAATTCACTAGAGACACTTGTATTGTCTATTCACAATTTGAGCCTTCCTCACTCCTTTACTTTAGGGAAGAATCATGCTTAACACTTTGGTTCAGAACATTTATGGCTCTTCTGTAAAGTTGAGCTGTACTGAACATAAAGATAAAACTGACTCATTAGCCCCAGTGAGAGAATAATTCTTAACCTCTAGACTGCCTTGTGAATAAGCCACTCAGGAGTTTTTGTTATTTTCCCAAAATGCTTAAATCTAGGTATAAGCAAATAATTAATACATTTAATGATTATATTTTTGAAATTCTGTAATGAGCTGTTCCAGATAAATGATTTCATGATTGAAATAAAACATATATTGCAATCTTTGTGTATTAGTTCACTGTGAAATAATATGATTCATTTATTTCACACTGTGCTGTCTCATAAACTTTTTCACTGCCACCCCCTAATATTTGAAATGTTTATTTTGATATTGTGCATGTTTATATACTTAGTAAATACCTAACAAACTAGATTCATCTTTTTTTGGCAAAGGTTGTACTATATCACAGAAATTAACTGAAACAAATGTTCTTTGAGAACATTTTTTTCTGAAACTATATTTGCATATGTATGACCGACCAAAGCCCCCAGTAGCAGTTCCTTAACAATAAATGGTTTGTAATCTGAATAACTTACTTATAAAGAAGTGAGAATATGGTAAGCAAAACTGAATTACAACTTTTATGCATTTTAGAATCATTTGTGGTAGGAGGGACATTTTAAAAATCAAGCTTATATTCAATAGTACAGTTGATTTGCCTAAATAGCTACTTTTATTCATTTTTGTGATAAGGAAAGAATTGACTTAGATGGTATTAAGTTTTATACCGGTGTTATTTTTTGACAGTGATTTTATTATTGGTCAGATGTGTAATAGTTATCTCCCCAAGACTGTAAATACAATTAGGTAGATCTTTTTGCAGTTTTGAGGCAGAGAGATAAAAAGAAAATAAATTGTATTCTTTGTCATTTCCCTTTTTAGTTTATAACAGGTCATACTATCCAGTCTACTTCTCCATCACTTCTTTGGGATAGTACCTTTGGTACATGCACATAGTGTTTAATGTACAGTTAAGACAGATCGTTTCTCTGAAATTGACCGTTTTTGAAATTTCTAGTCCAATTATTTTTGTAATTTTTTTTTTCTTTTTAAATGACAGTAGTAGAAGGAAGAGAGAGATGGAAAGGAAGGAGGGCAAAAAGTAGGACGGTGCTAAGTGGAAGGCGAAGAAACATGTTGAGTGTATTTTATTTCTAAACAAGTATCTTTGGTATATTGGGAGAGAAATAATAGAAGTGTCAGAATTTGTTAACATATATGACAAACTGTGGCAGCAGAAACTATCCTTTTTGTATTTTGGCATGAGCAATCACCCTTTTATTGGACCATTAATGCTGCTTTGGAACATCATGCTGTATCCAAAGGCAATAATTTAGCAGCCGTTTATCAGGAGCTTTCATAAAACATTGAATACTATTGTAACATCCAGTAACACTAACAACAGTATTTCAGAATCTGGGCCCATTTCAATGGCATACCCATGAATGTACTTGTTCAGGGATGCATGACCCACATCACCTATAAATTTGATTGGAAGTTACAGTGCTGGAATAGGCTGATGGATAGCAGATTAGAACCCTGATTAACCATGTGATTTGAAGGCTGGGAATATATTGTCTAAGCAAGATTCATCAGACGCAATCAGAATTTCAAGTGGTCAGATGAAATTCAAACGTGTATTGTGGATCTCCCCCCCAGCTCCCCTTGTGCTTTTCCTCTTAGGTTGCCTTTTTATTTTTATTTCCAAAGCTGAAAAATACTTCTTTGATGAATCTGCTCCTCACCCTAAAGCTGTCTGTCTGTTATTCATCAGAAAGCAGGTCGCAGTTCAGTGAACAGAAGAAAAGATTTTAATAGAAGCTGTGCCAAGGGCTGTAATGCATCATTTTAGGGCCCTAATTACATTACAATGACAAATATCAATGGTGACAACAGCAATAACCTACATCCTTTAATGGCTATGCTGGAAAAGGAGTTTGGGCCCTGCGCCATTAGATTAGACTCAGTTTCAAAACATAGGCCATTAGAAGTGTGTGTCCACAGTATTATTGGCCGATAACTGAAGCCCAGTGGAAAGGCCTGTAAATAAATGATGCCTCCCTAAAGCTTGGTCCTGTGGGACAAAAGAGGCAAAATTAGATGACCGTGGAAGCGGCGCTGTTTCCGAGGCAACTTTAGCTTTCAAAGTGAAGAATTGCCTGCTTAATTTTATGAAATCACACTTTTCCCCCTCCTGCTGCCAGTTAGACTCACCATAAAAATCCATTGGCGTGGCAACTAAAATAAATTATGAAATTCTTTAAACAAAAGAAGACATTTTAAAAGGTGGAAAGGTTTCTCCTATTTTCTGTTATGTCTAGTGTGTATGGACTTGTGTACAGTAATAAAAAGCCCTTTTTCACCTTTGGAGGATGAGGGAGAAGTCCTTGGGGCTAACATTTGGATAGACTCGAAATAGGCAAATTCCCATTTAGGGAAATAAATTCTTTTTCATCAGCTTGTGTTTCAGCAGTAGCTATCTCTATAGTGTTAGCCCCCTTAGAATAGAGCTCATTCTCTGGATTGTGTAGGCAAATGAAAGAACTCCGTTTTCTTATGTGCCCACATATTTTTCAGCTCTCCTAGCCAGGGACTGTTTTATTTATGTAAACAACATAATGAGGAAACTATGCCTGGCAGATGGTTCTGAGTATCAGAATCATCAGTTTGGTCTGCCCCAAAGTGTCTCATTATCTTTTTACTCTCTCCCCTTCCACCTCTCCCTACAAAAACTTAACAACTGAATGCCTTTGAGATGCATTTTCACTAGCTCGGTAAATGTCCCTTCATTTTCTTAGCCCACCGCTGGAATTTCACCCCTTATGTATCATGATGTGTTTTCATCTACGTGGACAGTGTTTTGGTGATTCCATTGCAACTTTGGGTGATTGTTTTTAAATCCTAGTGGATTGACGAGGGTTATATAGAGCCAGTGCACTGAAGACCATCCTGGCGGCACTAATGAGTCTGTACTCATCAGTGCCTTCCCTAGATCCTTTCATGAAAACAGGCTTAGAATGGTGTCAAGAGCTTCAGGGTGAGTTTGTGTTCTTGCTTGGTAGGCGAAGTTTTTAAGGTGCTGGTGTTTAAAAGATTGCATAGCTACAAGGTCAAAAAGGTTGGTGATGAAAGGAGGAAAAGCTAAATTGTACCGGTCTGAGTGTCTCTGTCATTTGGATAATGACTTTGCAAGAAAAAGAGCACTGTGTCCTCCCATATAATGAGGAACTGACCCTGGGCAGAATTTATTTTAAGGAATGTCTCAGGAGTTGTAATTGCTGTACTTTTTCTGCCTCTCAACACCTTCCTTTAGCCTGGTTCTTCCTAATCCTTCTGTAAAAATATAAGACTCTATGCTAGTCCATGAGTATGTATATATTGTGTACTGAAGTATGTCTGTAGCATAGCGTGTTAAAATACAAATTAGGTCCCGTCTGGCTTTTCAGAAAGAGACTATGCTGTGTGTTTGATTTTTTTGTGTTGTAACACTCAATTGGTGTAAGGCATCCTGAGCTCCAGCTTTGTTACATTAAACTCTGAGTTGTCTCATAATTTGTTGAAGCTCACAGTTGACTGGAATTTCCGTAAATAAACTGTACCTTGATAATTGATTTTTATAACAATGATCCCAAGACACTGAAAGGTCTTCAAATACCTGCTGAATGTTCAAGGATAGGTGAAGCTCAATTCAAGCTGGTGTGAAAAAACAGTGGCTGGGCAGTTATAGTCTGCCCTGATGGAAGTGTTCCCTGTACTGCTAGGATCAGGAATCCATTTAAGTATTTAACATAGACATATAATTTTGTTGGAAATTAGATTTCTTTATGTTACTGTGATTATTCTTAGTTCAGCTGTAAATGAGCCAAAACATCTTATTTCCTAACAATGCCCAATAACAGAGTGTTTACTCTTCAGAGTTACTGATTCAAGATAAAGTACTGCCTTTCCTGTAGATTATAGGATAGAATAGATCATCTTAGAAAGTCTTTCTTTAGCTTTATGGTATTTGAAGGCTTTTGAAAGCAATGGCCATAAATAGAAACATAATAAATAACAAATTGAGAGGAAGTTCTGTATCTTTACTATCCAAAAACTCAGTGTCCTGTGACAATCCAAATTAGGATGGGCTTGGGCTGTAGTTTCCTGTGGAAACTCTGATTTCCAGGAATAAAAATGACATCCTCTGTCGTACTGTATGTATCCTTGCAGGTTGGCTTTTTAAGATGAATACTTGCTAATAAATCGCCGTGCTCTTAACGTGGCACTGTTGCTACTGCATGTTGTTAATAGAGCTTCTTTGTCTGAGATTTTTCTCTTCCCTGCCTTGCAAAGCACCCTAGTTACAGTCCCATTGCATAGTAAATTGTGCCTTAATATTATCATGTTAACATTTAGGCAAACTGTAACTAACTGTTCTTTTTTCCCTTCCCTCTTCTCTTCTGCAGGCAGAAATTGTCAAGAGGCTGAATGCTATCTGTGCCCAAGTCATTCCCTTCCTGTCCCAAGAGGTAAGGCAGTTCATGGCAGGCCCTAGCTCTAAAGTTGCCATTTTAGTAGTACTGTATTGCAGGAAGGGGCTGGGAGCTGAGTTTTTCGGGCTTCGTGAATCTCTTGGTGCCTGTATTTCATTTTTCTAAGGTACTGCTCTTATTCCAACTCTACCACCTTATTAAAATTCAGGGGAACATAATTTAAATGCATTTATATAATGGAAAATGTTCTAATGCGCTAAGCGAAATTCAGTCGTTAAAATGTTTTGCTGTCATGTACAATGTAGTGTTGCTAAGAATCATGGCTGTTTGTCAAAATGGCATCTAATAGGGTGGATTGAAAAATTACTAGAAAGACAGAGTTTCTTCTATAGTTCTGATAATGGTTATTAAAAGGTAGCAGAAGGAATATCATATGGAGATGTTTCACCTAGCATAGTAAACAAAGTAATGCCCCTTTTGACCAACTGCTTTAAAAATTATTGCTTTATTTTTTCTAAGGCTGTTTCTATTTATTTGGGAAAATCCATAGAAGATTGTTTCATTATGAACTTATTTCTCTAAGTATCAGTTTCCTAAAAATTATGCATTTGTGACAGGTACTTTATTTTTTTGTTTGTTTTGTTTTTTTGGTGAGGCAGTTGGGGTTAAGTGACTTGTCCGGGGTCACATATAGCCAGTAGATGTCAAGTGTCTGAGGCCAGATTTGAAGTCAGGTCCTCCAGAGCACTATCCATTGCACCACCTAGCTGCCCCGTGTGACAGGTACTTCAGTGCATTACAGAAGCCCTTAGAAGGTCAGAGGGATCTGAGGATATGTTTTACTGTGGGATTTACTCTTGGGCAGCACTAAGGAAGGTGCTTTGTTGCCAGTCGTACGCAATAAAAGTCTGTTTCTGGCATGTAGGGCCTGCTTTCCTGCCTTCCCTCTCTTAGTAGTTTTGAGACTAAAGTGAGGGTGTGGGTAGCAGTTATCATTGCTTATGTTTCCTCATTGTTCAGCTCTTCATTTGGTAAAATTAGCCTTTCTGGGTATTAATGGCTTCAGCTCTTTGTGTCATGGGCCAAGAATGCACCAAGGCGTCTTCTCCTACCCTTTGCTTGTTCTGTAGGGTATCATTGCTTTTCTTTTCTTTAGGCAGTTGGGGTTAAGTGACTTGCCCAGGGTCACACAGCTAGTAAAGGTCAAGAGTTTGGTCTGAGGTTGGATTTGAACACAGGTCCTCCTGACTTCAGGGCCGGTGCTCTATCCACTGCCCCACCTAGCTGCCCCTAGGTATCATGGCTTTTCAAGAGAGCTGTTCATCCTTTGGCCTGCTAGAAGTCGTGTGCCTTGGCGTGAGCTCCCAGCCAGTGCATGGGTGTGTTCATTTGCATATCTCTTCTGATTATGAGGGAGGGGGCATGTGTACACAGGTACCTATACTATTTAATGTGTGGGACTAAATACTATGGCAGGATTGTCTATAAAGAAGATTACCCATTGATAGGGACTATAAAATTGAACTTTGGACAAGTAAAATGTCCTATCATAAGGAAGCATAACGAAGAGTGACCTTGTATCCAAACCTTTAACCCTGTTTGTGATCCTAAGTTCAGATATCAGCCTCAATCATACATGAAAAGGATATCCTGGGTCATTTATTCTTTCTTTCTTTTTTTTTTTTTTAAAGGCACTTGAGGTTAAGTGACTTGCCCACAGTCACACAGCTAGTAAGTGTCAAGTGTTTGGTCTGAGGCTAGATTTGAACTCAGGTCCTCCTGACTTCACTGTGCCATCTAGCTGCTCCAGGGTCACTTGTTTTTGCATGTGGTCACAAAACCACCAGAAAGCATATCCCAATTAGCTCTTCAAGATTTGCTTGTGACCCTGTTAGCTGCTGCACTGCTGTGTGGAAGTGTGGAGGGGGGTGTATTTGCATGTCTTTGAGGAAGCTTACACGGTGTCTGGCTGCATGCACCCTGTCTGACCCAGGTCACACCACTTGTCCTCTCAAGAGCTCCACTACCTTGAGGTAAGGGTAGTGGGGAGGGGCCTGAACCAGCAGAGATGTGGCTAGGGTAGAGCCTTGCCCAGGACCAAAGTGAAAAACCCCACACGTCCTTAGGGAATCAGGTCAGAGTCTATCAGTCAGGTAGAAGTCATGTGGCTTGAAGTTTTACAGGATTCCCTTGCATGGCCAAAGGGTTAGTTATTCCTTTGCTCAGAGACGGTTTTCAGTTTCTTTTCTTGTTGGTTTTATGGCTACACACACACACTGATCATTTGTACAGTTCATTTTCCCCCCACCCCCCAAATTGTGGTGCTTTACAGGCCAGGATCATTTTGGGGTTATAGGAGGATGGTAGTGATGAAGCCATCTGTTGTTTAAAGCATTTGATTATCTAGGCTGTTTTTATGAAGAGTATTTCAAGGTAAGAGATATCCTAGGTGGAGCTGAAGAATAAGCCTGATTTTAACTGGCTGATGAAGTTGCCCTCAGGATGAAGTGAGCCTCTGCAGGTGCTGAGACGTCCCGTTTTGCTGCAGCTTGGGTAGTGAGAAATGGTACATTTTTGAAGTAGTTGTCTGTTTTCTCATTGTGTGCTTGGAAATATTGTAGGCAAAGTTCTTGATTCATGTCTGTCCTATCAGTTTAACAACTTGATTCCTTCTCCCCACCCCCTTTTTTTAACCTGTGTTATCATGCATATTTTTACTTCTCTCAAATCAGGGTGTTTCTCCTGTTGGTGTCTGAACATTTTCTACCTTGTTTCTCTTTTCTCTGCTTTGTGTGTGCATCATGCTCCCACTTCTTCCCTGAGGCCAGATGGACCATAATCTCGAAGGAGGGGAGGAGGCAGGTTATTAGAGAAAGATGAATTCTATTTCCTGTCTCTTCAGAGGCATGGAAAATCACTCTTGCATGGCTGCTATCCTCACTCAGTGCCAGGGCTGAAGGCCCTTAAGCTGATCTTTTAACACAGCCTCTGTGTGATATTCTTAACTGCTAAACGGCAGGTGCACCATTATAAATTATTGAAAATGTTTTCATTTAGAAATTAAACCAATAACAATATTATTGAAAAAAAAATCCTGCCAGTTTTTGTCATCCTGTAAATATGTATATTAGTCTTCTGAGATTTCATAACTTATTAACCCATGGATTCTTTAATCTTAGGGATATTCTTTCAATCATCATATACTTTGCGCAGTTCATTTACAGGAAGGAACTAAGTGACCAAATATACATTTTTTGGTAATGTCTGTTTTTTAAAACTCTTTGTACCCTGCCATATACATATGTGACATATGTCTACATGAAGAAATAATATGGCTCTGTCTATAATTTCCTGCTTAATATAAGGAATTAATTAGCCATATTTTCCTTTTATACTTTAAAAAAAAAGCAATATTGGGTAATCTATAAATGTCTTTTTAATCACTTGACTGTGCTTTAGAAAAATAGATTTTGTAACTGTAGAACAAAAGCCTTTTGTTTTATGTGTGTGTATGTGGCTGTGAATATATACTAATGGCAAGAATAATATTCATTTATTACATTTCACTAAATAATCTTAATCATAGTTGATGTTTATGTTACGTTTTAAGGTATGTGGTGTGTTTTCCCTATAGCAACTGTGGCAGAGTTCATGTTTTCTGGAGGCAATGGCTAAACGTGTGTGTGTGTGTGTGTGTGTGTGTGTGTGTATGTATGTATTTATATTTTAAAATAAGTGACTTTTAGAATACCAGATTTTTTAAAATTTTCTTTGTCAGTTCATGATGAGAGTTTTGATTCTCAGGATTCTTAGAGATCTACTTTCCTTTACCCCTTAGTACCTAGGGATGGGGAACCTTCAGCCTCGAGGCCACATGTGGCCCTCTAGGTCCTCAAGTATGGCCCTTTGAATCCAAACTTCACAGAACAAATCCCCTTAAAAGGATTTGTTCTGTAAAGCTTGGACTCGGTCAAGAGGCCATATCCAAGGGCCTAGAAGGCCACGTGTGGTATTGAGGCAATGGGTTCCCCACCCCTGATCCTTGACCTTGTAGCTTAAAATAACCTTGTTAAGATATAATTAAGGTAGGGGTTTCAAAAAATCTAGTTTTGTCCATCTTACCTTAGAAATTTCTACTATTTTCAAAATAAAACCCCAAGATATTAAAGAATTCTCTAAAAGGCACACACACACCCATAACCCTCCCTCTCCTTCCTCAGCCCATTATTGTTTTGTTTTGGAGGAGGGGAGACTCTGTGGTGCCATAAGAAGCAATAGGTTGCTAACTTTTTTCTGCCTGGGTCGGTGCTCAGTGGTGCCTCTTTCAGGTTCCAGATTCCATTGGTCCAGTCCAGGATTTCAGGGACTAGAGAGAGGTAAAGCTCCATACTCAGTCTAACTGTCTATCATGATTTAATGATAGTAAACAGACTGGCCTATGGTAAATACAAAAAGGTACAAGAAGACATTATGTTCATTTGTATCCCTACCACCTGGGATCTCAGCTTAATTCTGAATCGGAAAGATTTGTTCTAGGAGAGACCATCTCTACCCCGAACTGCAGGCTTAATCCAGATAGCCTGAAAAGGTCAGAGTTAACATTGTTTTATACTGAGAGGTGGACAAAGAAAAGTTGGCACATGTCCAAAGATATCCTAAATCTGTGGCAAAAGATTTCTTATGCATGTATAAATATTCCAGTTACACGAAAGGAAGAAAGCACTTTTGGGTTGATACAAGATGTTGAGTGTTATGTGACTGTACTATGTGAATTCAATAACCACATCCAGCTGCTGTGGCTGAATCCTGTCTCTGACGTCTTGTTGCTTCCCTTCCCTCCCCTCCAGTGAGAGGATTGAGCCCAACCAGCCTACATCAAAGCTCCTGCTACTCATCTCATACCAGGATTCCTAAACCTTATATCTTTTACAAAGAGAAGAGAAGAAGGTTTTCCTCTCCTAATCCCTTCCCTCTTAGCTGGTAGTAGCACATCAACTCTTAGGGATTGAAATGGCATTTTTGCTGTGAAGCCCTGT